TAAAGTTTACTAGTCCCCATTATCCTCGCAGTAATGGACTCGCGGAAAAAGCAGTAGGCATAGTTAAGTCAATGTTGCAAAAGTCAAAGCATGAGAAGTCAGACTTCAGTTTATATCTTCTAAATTATCGGTCATCTCCAGTTGCGAATCTTAGGTATTCTCCTTCGCAACTACTTCAAAGTAGAGTTCTTAACACTAAGTTACCTGTAATACCATCAAAACTTAAACCTCAGATAATTGATGATAAAGAAGTGACTAGCAAAATTGGCCAGAGTTTGATGTATAATAAAACAGCACTAAAGAAAGCCAGTGTTTTCATGAAGGGACAAAAAATATTAATCAGAAATGTTTCCAACCTTCAGTGGGAAGAATGTATAATAGTTGATGTGCTGGGAAACAGATCATACATTGTTGAAGTAAATGGAGAAAGTTGCGTCGTAATTCGTGGTATATTCGACCCTTCATTGAACGTACCACCAGAACCAGGATAGTCAAAACTCCAAAAAAATTAGATTTGTGAAAAGGGGCATGTTTGGTTAAAAGTATTCCTTGATCTCTTTATAATCATATGTCATGTGATTATTGTTATTGTTTACATTTGAATTATTTACAAGTTGTACAACAGATTGAGTTCAGTAATAAAGATACTTTTGTTAAATATGGAAATTAGTAAATTCTATTAAACAATGATAAATTTGCATTTTACATAGTCTAAATACAAAAAGTATTGCGCAACCGTGATATGTTAAGTCATTAACCTTAGTTCAGTAATAAAAACTACACCGTGTGCTTACTGATGTAAAACACCGCTTATTATTTCTCTTTGTACTTCTATTCTTTCTTTTGTTTCTCTTCATCCACAAGTTGTCATGCTTACTAATCACCCAACCATAAAATGTTGTAGTGTTGTGACAGCAGACAGGAGCAGACGATTGTCAGTCTGTCAGTGTCAGTGCAAGATTGTCAGTCTGTAGGTGCGAGAGTATTGCTTGACCTTGAAGCTACTGATCGATATTTCTCTGTCTTGCTTCCATTTTATTTTTGTCAAATGAACTGTAATGTTTCAATAATGTGAAACCTACTGCACACTAAAATTACCGGAAATAGTTAAATATATAGTTCCAATATCAAAATATTAGACTGAAAAACACAATTTATAAAAAATTTTCTTGTGATTTGTGAGGTTATATAATATATAGGCATCATGTTGATCCTACCCCAGTAAATTGAGGTTCTACTGTATTTGCAAGTTACAAATAGAAAACCACATCACATTATGGTTGGTATTCAATGACCGATGTATTATAAAAAATTATTCCATACCTTATTTTGATATTAATCAGAAGCATTCATTACAGCTTGCAGCACTTATATATATAAATATCAAAGTTACTATTACTTTAAAAAATAAAACACAAAATTGTGTGGCCATTCAATTTTTATAAACACAGTGTTAAACATTTAACTCTACAGAATACCGGATGGTAAAGAGTGTTTGGTTTAAAGAAAATTAAATAAAACATAGTTTAACCAGCTTTACTATTAATTTGAAAAACAATAGAAAGGAAACCATAAGGATAGGTATGGGATTGAACTAAAATAATTGCAGGGAAACTTAAATAGTAAGTTAAAGTCCACAATCTGAAAAAGTAAACAAATAACCCTTTCTGGCGTTTGTCATATTGTACCCCCCCCCCCCCCAACGCATTTGCACTCGTGACCATTTTTTGTTGCTTCCTTATCTTTCATCCGTCCCAAAATAGAATTCCTGTAATAGTTTGTTAGTAAAATTAAAATTATGATAAAAATCTTTTATTTTACGAGTGTAATTTTGTGTTTATTCTTATCAGATAGGATAATATCGTTGCCCTACGTAATAGTTCCTCCTTCGCGTTACGCAATAGCGTAAAAAAACAGTCCCCGTATCTCAGACAAGATTCACGTATATTTCCCGAGATAAAGAAAATCCGTATAATTTCCGATCTTCCCGGTCCGTGGCCACACTGTGAATATTGTACGTCAATAAAGGAGAAATTGACTAAAGGTTCTACTGAAGTTGAAAATATTTCACTTTTATAAAAAAATAATAAAAAAAACTTAAAATATGAGATGATGAACGGGTAGGATCAACATTCAACCATTTATAATTAATTAATATTCGACGTTCCTTATTAGAGGTGTATAATATTTATTTGGATTATGAACATGTTTAAAAATTAACGTGTAGTTAATCACTATCCCAACATAAACAGTAACAAGGAGTAAACTAAGGCTACAGACCGCTGGGTTTTACCACTACAAAGTAGGCGAGGAGGGTGCCGTCACTACTCCACAATAGTTCATTCTTACACACGATGAGGATGAGACAGTCTCCGCATTGGTATTGCAGTTACGCTTATCGACACAGGCGGCAGCACCGGGTAAGCTGTTTCATACGCATAAAATGCACGGGAAGCCATACCTGACTGGCTTATGGGAGAGCTGACTGGCTTTCGGGCGGGTGACTGCCACACCGAGTAAATTACCAGCGTAGTGAC